CCTTTTGCTTCTGCCATTTCTTGGTCTTGGCATTGAAGAAGTTCTCACCCCACAGACTGCAAGAAATAGAATGAAAATTAAGTTTGCAAGTTTTTTTTTTACATTTTTAACCTTTAGCATTTAGGAGCTGCTTTAGTTACTCTAACTTAATACAATATTCTATTTGTTTTCATTTCAGAAATTATCATTTGGCATTTCTCTTAATATTCGAGTATCTTAGGTAAGTGCAAATAACAATTTTTTCTTCTTCAGATACTTTTCTTAATTATTGTAAATATTTTTTGTTTGCATGTACATCGTTTTTCTTTCTATTGAAAATTAGCATATACATATATTTATTTTCAATTTGTTCTAATTTTGATGTGTGTTTTAATACTAAAATTCTTTTAAATTGTTGCCTGTTTACATAAGTCTCAGTTTCTTTGCTCTCAAGCAAAATATCAGTTTTCATTATTATGCGATACCATTTCTTGGGTAAAGATCAACACAGCCCCTGACGCGGATGACGCAAGACAACAATGTGTTGCCATGCGCGAGTAATATAAATAGATCACTTTTCAAATTCCAATTAAAAAAAAAACATTGATTGGGTAAAAATACTCAGTAATATTCTGCGACTCTCTAAATAAATCTCATAAGGAAAAGTTATTTCTAATATAGCTGGAGCAATAGTAAATTAATCCAAAATGTAAACATGGTAAACATATAGATTACAGTTATCTGAATATGTCTAAAATTATTTTGGGTAAATTTGTCGAGTCGCTGCCTTAGCAAATGCACCGTTGGAACATTAGGAAAGCGGTTCCGGTGCAGCGTTTCGGCCGCGTCTTCAATTTTAATCTGCTTTTATTATTGTTGCACTTGTGGCGCCGTCAGCACGCGCGGTTCTAGCGAAGCTGTCGCCCTTTGAAGGGGAGGCAGCGATCAAAAGAAGTCGCACGCTCAGCGTCACACGTTTTGTGCTAAAAGCAAGCAAATGGGTTGCAGTTATGTTAATACGCGGCGATTCTTACCGGTTCATTAGCTTGACAACATCAATCTTGAACTTCTCGGAGTACATCTCGGAGAACTGCTTGAGGGTGAAGGCCCAGCCGTGGAGGCCGGAACCGAAACCGACGGAACCCTTGCTGGGATCCACACGCACCTCACCCATTGGACCGCCATCGTCGTTGTAGGTGGCAATGATGACGTTCACGTTCTCCACAATACGCTGGAAAGTCTGGTAGAGCTCCTCAGCGTCCAATTGCAGCTCCAGCAGAGCGCGATCCATCTTGTTCATGAACAGAATGGGCTTGATACGCTCGGCAATAGCCTGACGCAGCACAGTTTCCGTTTGCACGCACACACCGGAAACGCAATCCACGACAACGAGGGCGCCGTCGGTGACACGGAGGGCAGCGGTCACCTCAGAGGAGAAATCAACGTGACCGGGTGAATCGATCAGATTGATCAAGAAACCCTTGCACTCCTTTTCACGCTGATCGGCTTGCGTAATGAAGACCAGATCCTTGTCCTCGACCTCAAAGTACATGGAGATGGCACTGAAGCAATATAAAATGGGAAATATTAGGTTTTGAGGGCGTGGTTAGTTTGTGATCAAACGCCTTACGTTGACTTGATGGTAATGCAACGCTCCTGCTCATCCTTGCGCGTATCGGTGAAACGCGTCTCACCAGCCTTGGCGCCGGCAATGATACCAGCCTTGGACACAAGCGAATCGGTCAAGGTGGATTTGCCATGATCGACGTGAGCGATGACGGACATGTTGCGTATATTACGCTTCTTGTCCATCAGGCCACGGATTTCGTCGACGGTGAAGTTGACCTATAAACGACACCATGAAAAGAGAAAGTCATGAGAAAACTTTGATAAACTGCATGAAAATCAACTGTAAGCCGTGAGAGTAGCTGAGCTCCGATTAAAAATGGCGTTTGCTGCCCATACACACACATACAAATGCAAACACACATATTGAGCTCAGGCGATGTGATATTTTGTGAGGTTAGAATAGAACCAAAAACCACTTAGCTGGCAAAACTTTTACAAGCCAGCTCTTATATATATACATATAATCACTCACACTTGCATTGAGCAAACATCTGGTCACATTTTAGGAATGTTCTATTTTTCTTTTTTTGTAATAGCTGCATACGTCATTGCGACGGCCCCTTGAGCTATTTTCTTTGTCTTGCATTTCACCATTGCCTCACTCACACACACGCAAACACACACATTCACAGGTAGACTGTCACGTCTGCAGTTTTTTGCGCATCATTTAATGCAGTTGTCTGCCACACACACAAACAAAATTACGATGCACTTGACTGCGGCGTTTGATTCGCCTGCATTTGCTGCAATTATTTGGTATTATTGGCACCTACCATTTTGGATGTTTATTGATTTGCTTGGACCAACTTTAAAAACACTACACGCCTGCACTGGCGTATCGACAGGAAAGAACGGGCAACGTCGCTGTGCTAGAGACGGAACGGCCAGCTAATGCGTTATCGATAGTAGCACTCGATGTTCGGTTTCTTGCAGCTATCGTTATTGTTGCGTACACTATCGATATAAACGATTCACTCAGTGCGACCGTATGCGAAGAAAAATGTGCTTGTGGCTCGCGCGCAATTAAAATGAAAATTAAAAAATTTATGAAAATATTTGACTTGTGGAAATATGTGTATACTGTATTCGATTCGAAAAGATTGCTTTGCCATTGAAAAGGTGTTCGGGTGAGTGTGTTTTATTTGATCCTTTGATTATAACAGGTTTATGTACGCTGAAAATATAGTTCATATGCATATATGTATGTACATACACACATACATGCATAAGCATGTGCATGTGTATGTAAATGCATTCCCTTCTACGTGCAATATGTAAATGCGTATGTATGTGTTAACATACAATTTTTTTTTTGTTGTAATGACAACAATTAACTTTTGTTTACGATTTATAGATATTGATCTAGCACATTTACTACGGCATAAACAATTTTCCAGCCTAATTGCTCAATTTGTCTGCGGCTTAAACGCTTTTCCCCAAATTGTTTGCCAGGCGTGAAGGGAGCACAGCAAACATTTTCTGCCCCACCCACGCACATAAAGAAAAAACTTGTTGAGTCATTATTGACTATTGTTTGGCTGTTAACAATTATAACTTGATTATAAGACAAGAATTGCTCGCATTAAGATATTATTTGACCTCCCTTGCGACTGTTTAGCAACATTTCTATATGTTGCTCAGCTTATACTCACCACAGTGACTGCAAAACTGTCGCAAACCAGCTCAAACATGTTCGTGACAAGCCTGCATGAGCTGCAGCCCATTTTCACTCAAACCGATTGCAGCAACATTGCTGCCACCCACAACAACAACAACTAGCGTCTTCGGCTCGTTGCAACGCAACACGTTGCAGCAACAATGTTGTCGCAACATCATTGGCTGTGGTGCTGGCCGCCAGTTCGGGCACATCCGACGCGTCGGCCGAACAGTTTTCAAGTGATTTTCTGTGCGTACGGTTTGTGCTAGCGGTAAAACGAAAGCTCCGATTAACTGAAAGGCACACACACACGTCCGTGTATTGCTGTTGTGCGAAGTGTGTGTGTGTGTGTGGCATTTTAAGGATGCGGCAGTGCATAAAAAATAAATTCATTAGAAAATTTATATAAAAATTAAAAAATATAAATGGACTGAAATAGCTTGTGCGAACATTCCAATTGGATGCCAACATGGAATGTTAAAAAATCATAAAAGAGAATAGTGAAGATCAGTTTTCCCGATTGTGAAAGAGAATATTCGAAGAGCGAGTTCAAAGGGAAATTCTATTAAAAAGGAAGTTAATGAACATTTAGGATATTTTTAGGCTGCAATTGTTGGGAATTTCACTATTAGAGTATTTTTATGGGAGTTTTGCAAAACGCATTAAATTAAAAGAAAAAAATTATCAGAAAATACATTTATATTTATTATAAATAAATAAAAACATATATAAATTAAAATAAATAAAGAGATAAATAAAATATATATATCAAATTGTCAGACATTAAAATCTAATGCAAGGAACTGATTTATAAATTGAATCATTATTTAAAGAACTTCGATTTAAATAACTTAAAAATCATAAAGAATAACATTTGTTTCGAGACTAAAAGAGAAATATAGTTTGAATTCCTTTGACATAATGTAAAGTGTAGCCGGTAAATCCAAAGAGAAAATTTCCCTAGAAGAGCATTAGCCGAAAGCTTTTAATTATCTGATCTAATTGGAATATTCGCACAAGCTAGCCAAATAAAGGGGCAAACTCATAAAATACGAGAATAATTACACTTTAAATGGAATTTTAATTCTTAAAGCGCATAAAACAAACTGATTTATCAGCCGCAGAAAATTGCAGACCTTAAAAAGTTTCGTGGCACCTTTTCCCTTTGATCTGGAACCAACAACAAAGGATAAACAATAAAAAATAATTACGATAAATTCAACAAAATGAAAATGGGATAAATCCCGCTACGACCGTCGCGCCGTTGATCGCATCGTCCAACTTTTGTCGCGTTTCTTATTAGAAAATCCTTTTTGCGCGTTCGCTTCGCTGCGCGCTTGCAGCAGCCAAAAGAGAAGAAGCTGAAAAGTAGTAGAGGCAGAAGCAGAGACGGAAGCAGAACAACAACAAAAAATTGCACGTTTTTAAAAGTTTTTTACGCTGTGCGTCCTTTTATTTTTTGTATACGTGTCCTGCGCTGCAAACAAAGTAAAAGTTAGAGCGAAAGTTGTGTGGAGAGTGCGGCAAAAATAAAGCAACAACAAGCGGAACAACAACAAAACGAACAGCTACAACAACTGCAAGGGGGGACAACAACTGCACGGCGCACAAGTTTAATTCGATTTTAGTGTGTAACAATCAGTGCGAGAAGCGCCAGGCAGCGGCAGCGGCAGCGGCAGCGCAGCAGCTGAGCAGCAACTACAGCAACAACAACAACAAAAACCACAAACAACAAAAGCGCAGCGTGCAAAATAAAAAAAATAAAAAAATAAAAATAAAAATTGCAGCGTCGCCGACGCTACCTTTGCACATACATGTGTGCGTGCATGTGTCATGTAAATACGTGTGTATTGGTGTAGGAGTGAGCGGAAGAACAGTAAAAGTGGATTAGCAGCAGCAACAGCAGCCGCCATTGCCGCCGGCAGCGCAGTTAGTGTTAAATTTTGTGCGGCGACTGCGAACTGCGACTGCGACTGCGACAGCGACTGAGACGCTCTTTTGGATTTAATGCGAAGCGCTTAGCGTGTTAGTCTTTCAACTCGTGACTGTTGTAAGTTGCCCGGCTTTTGGCCTCTTTTTTACTCTTTTCTTCTCTTCGTACTTTTTTCTTTGCTTAATTGTAATTAATTTTAAGTTAAGAGCGCTGTGGTCCCTGCTGAGATTTTTATTTAATAGCTTCATTGGAATTCTATTTAAGCGTCGCTGTGTCTAGTTCAGCAGCTTGATTTGTGTGCGCTTCTGTGTGTGTGAGAGAGAGAGAAAAAGAAACACAGAGAGAGTATTGAATTTCAAAAGAATTTATGAATTTACTTTGTATGTGTGTGTGTGTAAGTTTTGTATTTCATGCGAATTTAATAAGCAAACATAGAACAACAACAACAACATAAACAAAAGTACTTATAAATTAAGCAAATGTTAACCTGAAGGGAATGGACGATGGGAAGGCCGTATGCATATATATGAAGGTAAAGTTCTGTCTATTCTGTCGCGTGTTTTTCTAAGTAAGCTCAAATATATGATATATATATTTCGAGTCAAGGATCCCTGATCTGAAGCTTAGCTAACAAATGCCTCGACAAACTAAACATAGGAAGAAACATTAATGAACAACCGCAGGACGACGCGTCGCAATCAGTTCCAATTGACAGAGAGGATGTTCGGTTTTACCTTTGCAAATGTAACACGGCAGAGCAGCACTTTGCACAATGAGAAAAGATGCGGGAGAGGGGCAAAATGACAGTTTGCAAAATGCGGTAAAAGGGAGGGAGGGGGAGGGCAACTACAACGAAAGGTCTTTGCACACAGACACAAACAAAGATCTGTGACAGTCTAAAGCAAAATGACATTCCCACATTGTGTGCGCTTCCTTCAACTTCCTGGCGGCCAGTCCTTGTCTGGCACGTCTGCCAGTGTGACCGTCTGGCAGTCGTTGACTTTTGAATATTTATCCCACACTGTTCACGAACTGAAAGAGAGTATATGGGCGCAGTTGTTTAAATCAGTTTAAAATTCTCTTCAAAGATTAATCTAAATAATCTTATTATTAGCTTTAACAAAAAACTGCAAAAATAGTATTAAAAAAAGTCAAAAAATAAATCGAAATCTTTCCCACTTTTGTTGCCATAGATAAACATAATTTTATAAAAAAATATCTATTACAAGTATACAGTAAAAGCTCCCTTGGGTGGACAGCGAATGTCGAGTAATTACCCGATTCCGTTCAAGAAGAGTGTCCGGCTAATGGAGGGAATGGGTGGCCTAATTCAAAATGGCTGAGGAGGATAAGGTTTGCCCAATGGGGATGTCCGCCCAAAAATAGTAGTGTCCGTTGCGAGCGTGTTCACTGTAGTATGCACGCGTGTATTCGGTTTAGACAATGTATTGAAATTGTAGAGCATTGCGTAGTCGGTAATGCATGGCTGCAACATTTTTGTCTCTGTTGGGTTTTGCGAATTCGACTTTAAAATTCTTTAATTCTTTATAATTTACTTAAAACGGCCACACAAACGGCAGACATAATGCGTCTATTGTGTGCGGAAATTTTTATAAAAGAATTCTGTCAACTTGTGCGTGTGTGCGACGTGTGTGTGCCTCAGATTAGCTGCCTTTATTATTAAGCTTTGTGTACAACAGCAAACGGTGGGATGCGGGGGAGTTTTGACTTTACAGTACTCATACTTTATGACGATTTCGATTGGTCTCAAGCAGCTGCCATATTTATGCGTTTATTGGGGCCAAAACGTTTGTTTTCTCAGCTCTTGAGCGGGTAACATTTTTTGTTGCTGTTAAAAGTTCAAAATAAACAAACTGTTATTCCCAAAATCGTAAAGACCTTTAAGTGCATGTATAAAGCTTTTAGGTGTGCTACAATACGGCTGGATACTTTAAGGTAGCTGTTATTGTCTTCGGGGGGGGGGGTTTCTTTTTAATATGTGCTAAAAGGAACAACTTAACAACACTTGGCTAGAAAGCTTTTCGCATCCGCAAAGTGTTTTTCGAAAGGCGTTAAATTAAAGCTTTCATCTGATCAATGTTTTCCGCTAAAGTTGACTTTGTGAGAATCACTTAGAGAGGCTGCATCGCTCATAAAACTAGTTAAATGTACAGTTATTGAGTTGGTTAGTAATTGCCGTTACGTTAGGCTTAGGTATTCTCATATTAGATCTAAAAAAGCAATTGATTTTCAAGCTGCTTCGTCCTTGTCACTTCTATAGAAGTCATAGACACCCACTTGGCACATTTGAAATGTTTTTTCGGGACTCCATTTCAAGTGCTTAATGCGCACTCGTAATGATTTTTTGGCGCTCTTTTGCTCCACTTCTGATTTTAAGTAATAATTTGATTGTGTCTCATAAAAGAAATCCCGAATACAACTCCAGCATAACGAAGTTCTGCGGCCTTAATGCAACTGCTTAACAGACACTCAAGCAGACCGATCCAGACATAGAAATGAAGTCCTGAAACTAGAACCGGGCAGGCCAGTAAATTATGAGCCGGCATAAAGAAAGTTGTGCGTTGTGTGCGCCATTTCGCTGCTCGGCGGCATTTGCTGAAGTTAAACACTTAAAAGCTGCCACGAAATCAAAGAGCAGCAGTCCAAACAGCAGCCCCAGCAGTACATGCAGCCCAACAGACGGTTCTAACAACAAACTGTTAGCCTGCACGACTAGGTGATATCCTGTAACATGGACCGAAGTGTCCTTAGAAGCTTCTTAACTTAATAATAATTATTATAATAAAAATAGTTTTCACAAAAACTCAAGAGCTTATAGCTCAAACTTGCAGCTCATAAAAATAAAAATTGGGCTAAAACAAAAATTTAATTGCAAATTTATAATCATATAATATTTAATTATATTTAGTACGCGAATCAAATTTTATTTTCTATTTATTTTGACCCTATTTAGAAAAACACTTTTTCGAACCAAAATGAATTCCAATTTGAGAAAAAATGTAGCTTTTTATAGTCTGACATTTTCAATATTTAAATATTATTATTGCATAAATAAATTATAAAAATGTAATTTAATTAAATTTAATTAACGAATTCAATTTTATTATAATTATAAAAATCATCCCGATTTGAGAAATAATCGTAACTTTATATAGTCTGATTCAAATATTTCAAATGTGATTCATTTCATTTCGAAATAATTCAAATTTCTAGAAAATTTCCAAAACAGTTTATTTATAAACAAGATCTATGAGAAATTTAAATAAAATGATAAATTAATACCGAATTCGAGTTAAACTCCAAAATAGACACTTCAGTTGGCAGGGCTTGCACAACTGTGTTATACCCTTTTTGTGCACACTTTTGTTGCGTACAGAGTATACAAATTTAAGTGATTCAGCGAGACGCCGTTCGCTGGCAAAGTTTCGCTTAAGTTGTCTGGGCAGCCAAGTGGCGGATGTGTTGTGTGTGTGTGTGTGTGTGTGTGTGGTGCTGGTGTTGATTGGGGGCAGGGTGGAATTGCTAGTGGTACCTGCTGCTTCCCCTCGTTCAGCCCAGCTCAGCCCTGGCCTGACACATATTCAGTCCGACTGGCAACTGGCACTCGGCAGTCGTCATTGCGCTTGGAAATCTTCTGTAACGAGTGAAAATTAAAATAAAAAGCGTTAACAGCCACGAAACTTTGCCTACTCATTTCTTTCTTTCATGCTTTATTGCTTTCTCCCTCCCTCTCTCTCTCGCTCTCTCCATCTGCCTGTACAGCCCTTTTAGTTCCGCTCCAGTCTGACTCCTGTTCCTTGGCATCTCTCGGGCTCTTCACGCGCTTCAGCCTCTCGAGCAGCATCTCGAAATAAATCTTTGAATGGCTTTAACATGTTTTCAGCGCAAGTTTCGTGCGGCCTTTCGCCTGCCCCCTGTGATTTATACATGCTAAATAATTTATTGGTTAACAAAAAATTTTCATTTCTCTATATTTCTTCTTCTACGACTTCTTCTTACACATGCTTGCAACATTTTTAGTGGCAGTAGGCTGTTCTATATAGTTTTTCTCTGCGTTTTGGCTGTTATACATATTTTATTTAGGTTCTGAAGTTTGATTTAAATATTAAGTTAAAACATTTCAACACTTAAGGTTAATTTTTATTTATGTGTTTAAATCGGTTTGAACATATAAAACAGTTTTTGAGACTTATTATATTGTAGCTCTAATATGTTTTCTGAACAATTTCGATTACAACACAATTTTGCTCAAATATTTAAATACAGAATATTCGACAAACCTATAACATTTTAAATATAGTACATGAATAGATTTACCATATTTGATATTGACATATTGGGCTTTCACAAATTCGAGCTCTTCCCAAATTGACGCATTTATTGTACAAATATTGCGCAGCTTTTTAGAATCTCCTTGGTTACAAAAGATATTTAACCGAAGTGCAGATTTTTATATTTTTTTTGGTTCTATTCAGTTGCTTAAAAATGTTGAAAAACTAACTAGAAATAAATAGAATGTGCTATTTCTAAATTAAATTAAAGCAGCTCTGACATTTTTATAACAATTATGTAATTGTTTGTAGTTCTTTTTTCTTTTGCCCAAAAGTTCAAATTTGTCAGACATAAATTTGATTATGTAATTCTACGATACGTAAATTCCAAAGCATATTTTTCATATTTGATTCATTTGAATAGATATTCCAAACATTTAATATTCATAGATTCCTCAAATGCATTGTAGCATCACAATTTTTAGCACACTCCACTGATTTCTCTCAGTGCATGCCGAAATACTTCAATGATATTCGATGAAATCGAAACGTTTTGCAACGATGATGACGGCAATGCATTGGTTTGCGTCTCACCATCTCAGTGCCACAGCATCTTGCAGCCCCCCCTCTGTTACCTGCAGCTTCCCCCTTGTCATCACTTTTACCCTGCCAACTTCAGGCAGAGCTCATCGCTCTTTGCGTTGACATGAGCGACAACTTGGACGTCGTCGTCGGCTCCATTTGAAACTTATTGCTCGCTGAGGCTGTCAGCAGACAACGTGGTTGAGACTTGGGCATGGGCAATGGAAACCCACAGTTTCTGGTATTTTTCTCCATTTATAAAAGATGACTGCAAATTCGATTTGACGTCATGTTTGCCAGAAGAAGTCATAACAGGGCCACAAGTTTCGTGTCTACCTCATTTATGGGATTTTCGACTGCTACTCGTTAACGAATAACACCAAAAGCGTATGCACTTTTATGACTAAGTATTATGGGTGTATTATAACTAGATTGGGTATGTCTCAGTCTCTAGCTCTGTCTACCTGTGCTTGCGGCCCAATGGAGCGTTGCATTTTTCGCTGACCGTGTCGCAGTTGTTGCACCTTCTGCTCTGAGCCGTTACTAATGAGAGGCAAACACTGTTGCCACGCCCCTGCAATAAGACTTACAACAATTTATTGAAATGTTAATGAGCAGCGCATTGAACGAGAGGGGCGTTCAAAGATTTTGAAGTGCAACTTAAAATAGCCATCATATTAACAATACACTCGATAGTTGCCGTACAATGGAAGATATTTATAGTTTAAGGAATAAAAGCTTTTAAAATAACTCAAATATATTGCAATTTGTTTGGGAAAAGCATGAGTTTAATAGAACAGATAACTTTTATTGGCACACTAAACTAAGCTCTCTAGTTCGACAGCAACTTTATTGTCATACGAATTCTGTAAATTAAAACAATTATGTGTGAAGGAGAAGGATTAGCTATTAGCTGTTCGTTTTAGGAAATCTTCACATTATGATCAATTAGTAAACTTCCCAACATTTTTGAAAATTTTATTTCAATTACAATAAAAAAAGAAAGCTATAAATTTAAAATTGTCTTTTGTTTTTAATGTTTATTGCATTGAAAGAAATATAGCATAGAATTGCTTGAAAATAAAAAAAGCATTTCTAAGGAACATTATTTCTTTATTCTATAAAAAATATTGTAGTATATGTTGGCTTTTGGTTAAGCAGTTGATTAAGCTTATTAGCCAACTGCAACAGAGGTTTACCAACAACATTTTACAAACATTTAAACCAAATATTTTTGAACTCAAATTTTGTTTGTGCCGCCCTCGCAGCGTGTTTGTTTTTCTCCCAAACCTGCGGGAAAACTATTCAAAAGTATTTTCTGCTGGTTTCGTGCCATAAAACTGGGCATGGTCGTCAATCAGTTTGAAATCAAAGAGTTGGTAACGAGCTGATTAGCGTGTTAACTGCGCAATTATTTTTGGTTATTTTTTTTTTGGATTTTGTTTTTGGAATTTGTCTGCCTGCCAAATGCTGTGCGGTGGATGCTGGCGAGCCGCTGATGGCTTGCCAGCCGGATAATGATATATGGCCATCGAAATGTCAAAATTAATAAGCGCTGATGGCTGTTTAATGAGCCGCCGTTAACGCTTGCGACACAAATTGAAACCGCTGTCACAGTGGTTGATCGCTGCGGTGGGTTAAAGGCTAATCCGTGGTGTCAGTTCTGCATAAGTTGGAATTTATCTAGTTTTTCGTGGAAAAAAACTTGTTGGCAACGAGACCTCACACGTGACATATTTAACTTATTTTTAATGGATTAACTCATCATTAGATGTGTCTTGAGTGTTGGAGATATACCGAAAACTCTCCTTACGGGCACTCCTCTTAGGCGGACAGCCATTATGAATCAGGATATATCCATAACTAGAGAGTTTCCGATGTACTAGAATTAATTATAATAAAATAAAATAAATGAAAACCCTTACGCTTAGTTGAGTGGAGTATTTTTTTTTTATATTATGAAAAGAATATTACATATATCGGAAGCTGATATTGAGTCTGTGTATTTTTCTACCGTTTGCCGAATTCTATCGCCTCGAGCTGATCCTGCTCCATAAGGACACGTAAATCGACATTCGAGGGATAATGCATGCCGCCAAAGAGGCGTTTCCAAAAGTTTCGTTTCTTGCGTGGACGTTCAATTGCAGCCTGTGAGCTGCTCGGATCGCAATTCTGATCACAGCAATTCGAGTTTGTGTGTAGCTGTGCGGGTTTCTGTTGTCTACGCAAAAGCGGCTCCTTAAACAGTCCAAGTTTTTTGAAGAAACCATTGTCTCTGCTTTCCAGCGGCCCTTCGACAACTACATTTTGTGCCAGCGGCGCTTTCGGCCTGATCTCCACTTGATAGTTCTCATTCACCAGGCTACACTTCTGTTCGATCTCCCTAATTTGCAGTTCCTGCGGAGCCCGCAGCCCAGACACTTCTTGTTTTTCGACTGATTTCAGCTTGCGTGCGGCTATGCGACGATACTCGACTAAATCCTGTTCAGAATTGCGAATGCGCAGGCCCTGTTGGTTCTTAAAGCTGGAGACGCTATCAATACGATTGAGACTTCCGCTGCTGTGATGCGAAAAATATTGAATTCCTTGCCGATTGCCAGCTGGATAGCATGAGAGGGCGCTTGAATGCGATCCTTGCTGCTGGCATGCTAGGGACCCATCCTCCTGCATTTGAAAATGAAATTAATTAAATATTTTTGAAACATTTGCAATAGCTACTAATTGCATAAACTCTGCATCTTTTTTATATTGCGAGAAAAAAGAAATGCTTGACTAAATTGATTTGCGTTACCGACTTATTAATTGAATTAAATGTTAGAAATATTTTGATTAAGTAATGCACATATTCTAAAGAAAATAAGGAACTTTTAAAGCGTAAAGCTTTAATATCTTGGGCCTTAACCAACAGATTTATCTAATCATATTTGGTAAATGACAGTCAACGACGTATATATGTTATAAACCGTAAAGCGGTCAATTAGAAATTAAAGTGCTTAATTAATTAATGGGGCTCATGAGCGACAGATATTGTTGGGTTGGCAGACCTGATTAAAACATGTTTTGCCCTGGAAGCTAAATCAGATAATACTCTATATATTCTAAACTGTACTGTAGTGCATCAAAATATTCTAATTTTCTCACCAGACTTATAATTGGTTTAGTCTCACAAAAGGACTGCGGTGCCAAGATACTTAAATTTTCCTGGTTCTGATACCAATAGTTGAAGCTCTGCGGAGGCTTCTGTGCCGGATAATCAATCCAGGCCTGCTGCTGAGCCCGAGCCAAGGATACAGCCTGTGCCTGCATCTGGGCCGTGTTGGTGGAGTTGAACGAGTTGTAGGAATTTAAGAAATTGTTAACGGGCTGCGTCTGCGACAGGCCATAATAATGGGATGTAGGTCTCGGCTGTGTTGGCTGCAATTGGGGCGCATAGGCATAAGTTGGTTGCCTGGAAGATCCTGGTGACACAAATGCTTGCTGCTGCTGTTGCTGTGGATAGAGTGTATTCACGAATTGTGCATTGGGATCAGGCATCGACATGGAATTATAATAACACCAACTGGGAATGTCTGGCTGCCACATGGTAAACTGGAGGTGGATAATGGTAAAACCAAAGATTAATAATGATATTTTCAGATTATAGCGCGGGCATTACTTACTTTAGATTTGTGAACTGCAGCCCAATATTAACGCCTTAGAATTTTGGTTTACCTTAGAACTTTATGACATTTGGTCGAAATACTTGCTAATGGGGCTTGAAGGGCGCCTGCGTGAGCAGAGGATGGGTTAAATTCGGGCCAAAATTCTTCAAACCCGGAATGGCCCCTTTTGGCGGCTGGGGCGCTGTTATCGGTAGATTATACATAGGTTTGATTGTAACTTATAATTTTTTTTTTTTGCTTTTATTTTTTATTTATGTACATCAACTGGGGACTGTTAACTATAAATTGAAGCAGTAGACAACACATGACAGGCTAGGCAAAGCCACCGGTTGCGTGGCTTCACTGTAGCTCGTTTTAAATGTATGGACCCCTTGTTTGTGACATATGCAAACATTTTTGATGAACCTAGCTGAGTAGCGTGCAGGAACCCCAAATTAACTGCGAGCGCGTTTACCTTGCCCCAAGCAATTCCCGGGCTACATTTTAATTGTTCATAATTTATGAACTTGTCGTCGTCGACGTCGACGTCGACATCATAAAAGCCCCGAAACATAAACAAACAAAATGTTATGCAATGGCACGCCCGCCCACCTGCAAAGGCAAACAATCTGTGCATAGAAATGAATTTCATTTTGTTGTCATTTGCTTTGCGTCGAACTGAACCCATCCTCCCAACACCTGGCACCTTACACGGCTTACCTTTCAGCTGGCGTGGGGTTGCTCGCTTAAGCAGACGTCACATTTTACTAATTAAAAGTTCAATGCGCAACATTTGCAGCAGCAGCAGCAGCAGCAGGAACAACAACAACAACAGCAACAACCAAATGGACAACAACAAGCACAACACCAATGACAATGACAAAGGGAATGAGGTGAACGAATAAAGGGAACAATAAAAGAGAACATTTGGCTTTTCGGGGAATGCCGAAGACTCAATGCACTCACTATTAGATATATATGGGCGAAACGCCTTATTCCTCTTCAATCTGTCTTTGAACCCAATTTTATACGCACATATAGAAATAATCACAAACAGGTAACGAAAGTTAAGGCAACTATAAAGAAAATTAATTCTTAAATAACTTAATCGGTAATCTAATCTCTGCAAAGAAACAAATATTTCTGTTTTGTTAATGTTTATCGATGGGATGTTATCGGAAAAGTTGTTAATAGATAAAATATGTATCGATAAGTATCGATTATTATATAAGGTTTTAATAATAAAGCAACATATAGAAAAAAGGACACACCTACATAGTCTTGGTGTAAAATCGATATTTATCAAGTATGAAGTTACATAGAAATATATAAATATGCTTTTATATTCAATTGCGCTTTCTACAAATCGTAAGACATTTCACGATGAACTGTTGGCATCCTCTGTAAGAGTATTAAAAACAAGAGCATAGTTAATTTATTTCAAGCGTTCTTTACTTGTCTCCCTTTTGTCTGGTTGAGTTGTCTGTCTGATTTCCGTTGCTGTTTGAAACCAGAGAATACGAAATCAGTTTTTAATTATTTAATTAATTGCGTAACGTTATGCAAATAACCATAGGGTAAATTTAATCAGACTTTTTTAAAAATCTTTACAATATTGGATTACATAAGACGTAATAGCGATACGATTGAAGCCAAGGAAAATAAATTGAAACACGTGTCAGAAAACTCAATGCAATTATTTATGGATTAAAGAAAAGTCCCAATTATAGTTGCATTTTATGCGCACATCAAAGTAATAAGTACTTTTGGGTGCTTGCTGTAAAGTACTCAAAGTATTGGATGCCACAAGCTTAAATCTTGGCGAACCACGATAGATCTTTAAATTGTACTCATTATGTATTTGGTTGTGCCAACTAATTACATTACATTTTAGCTACAAAATTTAACAACAACAAGAGCAGCAGCCACACACGCAGCGCACACACACACACACACAGCACAAACATAAAAACCACATAAAATCACCTGCGAGCTTTAACACGGAAACACCCACATTTTGCAGCCGTTGGTTGAGGCGCAAACGAACGTTTTATTTATGACCTCCCATGTAATATTTGAAGTAATATTTTTGATTTTTTATTTGGGGTCTTCTAGAGGTCGCAAGTGTTGACAACACCGCAACACCGCAGCGTCTGTCAGAGCGCATTCCAATACTGGCAAACCGAAAACAAGGGGGAATGTTGAGGATGGGGACACATTTGCTGAAGAATTGCCATTCAGTTAGATATTTTTCACGGCTATCTGCTCATAATTACCACACAAAATGTTTCACCTATTAAATGCAGCTTTTACAGCGCAAGGGGGCAAAAGAAATGTGTGTGTGTGTGTTCGAGAATAACATGATGAATGGCAATGTTTAACATGAAAAAGTTTTAATACCATTGCAATAGATGTGAACCATTTCTCCAATATTCCCTTGGTTGGTGAAAACTATTTTGCGCCATGTATTTTTAGCATTTTCCAATTTGTGGTACGTGCTCGGCGACCTTAAGTGTTCCCTGGTGTGCATTCAAATGGTATAGGATTGATAAAGGCAACATATCTCGGTGCCACCTCCATAAATTATGACGATTAATTGAATCGTTGCAGGGAGAAAAAAAAACTTGCCTTATGTAAAATAATGTTTTGAGTTTTATAATCAATGTTAAACACGAGTTTATTGCATAAAGTTTGTGGAATAATTATTGCTGTTTGATTAAAACTCTTACAAGTACTTTACAGCATTACGTTTAAGTTTAATAGACAATACACTCTAGAAGTACTTCACTGCCAGAAACTCAGCTACAATAATAAATTTATTCAATAACGTTTATTTTTGTAATATATTTCATTCAGCAATATACAAGTTAGCCGAATCAAGAAATACTATCATAAACATATTATTAACAACAATATAAGAGTATAAGACTTACGGTCTATCTAAATAAATGCGCAGTATTTGTATGAATATTGCAATTAATATAAATGCTTTAAGTTTATAAATATCTAATCGATAAGTATCGCCAAGCGAAGTGAAAAATATTAATTTTTCTATTTAATGATTTATGAAAATCGATACATATATCAACTTTTGAAAATCCTCATGTGCAACTGTTTTATAGGCTCATATTTCATTTATTCTCTGGTTTCAAACCCTTGCAAAATTTGTCATACCCTTTGTTGTCACCATTCTGACTACAGGCTACAATTACGTGCGTATATTTAAAAGTACATTAAATAACTCTGCCGCCCCTTTCGGGCCAAACAAATTACTTGACTGTAAAATAAAATGAATTCAAAATAAACAGCAGGCAGTCAGGAAAGGCTGTTGCCTTGGAAAATCAACCGAAACGAAATTAACGTGCATAAATCTAAATTAAATTTTGTTCTTCTCAAAAATAAAAGAAGCTAAATAACAGCAAATACTGTTAGCCAGGATAATTTGTGAAATTTGCTCTCAAGTGCCACGCCTACTCGTGCTGCCTATGAAGGGGCGGAAGCATCGAAGAAATGAGTAATGTCGTTTGTACTTAATTTGAATGACAAATGTCTCAGAGCCGTAAACGTATTTATTACGCTCACTGTCGCTTTTGTTTACGCAAAGGGGACGCTCCAAAGACGCACCCCTCCCCGTCCCACTGCCCTGTTCCCCCTGTTCACCCTGGTCATATTTCTTGTCAGTCGCTCAGCTGGTGCTTTTGTTGTTGCCTTCATTAATCGTCGCATACGCAAAGATTTAACAATATTTTGCTTAATTATGCAAAAGGCCAATTCCTTAAACAAATGCCAGGTTCTATTGATTTAAGTTCTTATTGAGCTTGTGTACGTACGTGAGTGTGTGTGTGTGTGTATTTGTTTGCTTGCATTTGTTGATTATGTGTTTATTTACACTAAGTCGAATGGTTTCTATGTCTCAGACTTTAGGTGCCAATTAGTATTTGGACCAACTATTTAATAGGTTGATTTGATATTTGATTTAAGTACTTTCTATTCTCTATTGCAGCATGGAAACCATGATTACCAGAAAATACAGATAAAAATGCCAGCGCAAATTTATTGGAAGACTAAACAAATTCGGGCAGTTTTGCTCGTGGTAAGTAATGCATCAATTCTTTTGCTTCTAATTGATTGTAAACATATATTCTTAGAAACTTTAAGCCAGTTTTCTAAGTTGCTTAAATTTCAGTCTTGATAATTTGCTCTTCTTTTAATGCTGCTTGTAAGATCCTGTTTCTATATCTATATAGGTGTTAAGATAATGCCTTGTAATATATAAATGTACCACAATTACTACTTAACCTTTAACAGGAGTTAGATTATTAACGCTGCATTGCCCTTTGATATTTCTTCGTATATTAATATTGCGGTCTAAAATTTAAGCATGATTTCCCTGCAGTAACCATTTGCCTGACCCTAACTGCAACTTAAATGTGGTCGAATAATCGTAAAAGTCAGTTGCCTCAAAAATTGTGTGACAATTATGAACCACAGTAATAACGTGGCCGTCAGAAGTCCAACCCTTCTCCTATAGCTGACGCAAATTCATAAATTTTAAAGCAGCTCATACAAAAAGGGACACGCATTAAATTTTCAAAAAAATGTAATAAAACATCAAATTACCAATAATTTAGACGACAGAGCAAGGTGGGCGGTATTGTGGGTGTGAACCCTTCTTTCTTTTTTTTTGGCCTTTGACTGGTTGCCTTGACTATGAAGGGGCGGGTGTGGGAATGCTCCAGACTCAAAGTCGAATAGCAACACGTGCCGCTTTGTGATTTCGGGCACTTTTTGTCGGCTTTGGCAACCCGTTGGCATTTTATAGCGCCAATGAAGCAGAAACAGATCCGGACACCAGTTTGGTAACCCCAATCCCAATTCAAATCCTAAATCTTACCCTGACTACGAGTTCAATGTATTTTGCTGGTCATTGGCTTACTGTGGTAAAGGGGGCCAAAAGGATTAGGCCATGTGGCTTGTAAACTGCTCTTTGTGTGTGTTTTTGTGTGCTTCCTTAATGTATGGGCGTGGCAGCGGCCATACAACTTGTTACTGTGCGCACATTACCATAATGTATTTTATCTGGCTGCTGACTTGTACGGCCCCCCAGTTAGAAATCACTTAAGACGCTCTGCTCTGTCCTGCCGCACCCCTCTGCCCCGCTACCCATAATCCCCAGAGCAACGACCCCTCAACCCGTCGCATCTTGCAACCTCTTTTAGCTTTAGTTCGTTTCAAATTACCCACAGTTTGGTTGACTGACTGCCTGAGCTGGACAGGTCAGGTCCAGTTTGTTTCCTTGGTGGTTGGCTGGCAACTAGCCTGTTTGAACAACCACATTCTCATCATTTTCGACTCTTTCTCTGTTTGTACGTTTTCCTGTCTGCATTTGTTTCGGCTTGCGTGAAATCGCAAAATCAATCAATTCGATTACGTATACGTAATATTTATAAATATTTAATGTTAAGCCTTATACGCATTTTTGCTTGCCTGCCTTCGATGCGTTACGTTACGATTCGATGTTATGTAAATGACATTGTCTACAGCGGCGGGCGAGAGAGAGAGAGGGTAAGAGAGAGAGAGAGGAGTATGTGTGTGCTGTGTTTTATGTATTGCCCGCTGTAACGTTTATTCTGGGCTCCTCGAAATGGTTTCGATATGTTAATAAGTAATGTTAAGGCAAGTTATGGCATATCCTCAAATTTTCTGAGCTCATTTGGGATATTGCATACATATAGCCACATACATATATATCTAAATATGTGTGTATGTATTTTGGGTAGTCTATTCAATTGTAGTTCGACAATTTGAATGGTTATTATGCCCCTGACAACGGGTATTGTAATTTCGTTACAAACTGAGCAAGGCATTGAAAGATAACAGGGAAAAGATACACACAATATGTCTCTTTAGGTTCGATCATAATTATGACTATGTTGCTCAAGCATATCTGATGATATTCTTCTTATAGTACCCATGTCAAATAAACGGCTACAATTATTATAACAAGAGGAAGATTGATTGCATTTTGCTTAGCTGCAACAAAGAATTTCAGCTTATGTAATTTATTAAATAATTGAATACATTCTCTTTCTTTATCATTTTTGGTTTATCCCGGCTTATCGCCTATTTTCCACACTATAGATTGAATATTTTCCTGTTCTTCGTGATAAGGGAAAATATTTGTTACATTTGTCCTTACGCTTGAAAATTTTCCTTTCTTCTTTAAAATACTTTATTGCGGATTATTTTGCAAAATGTTTTGTGCTAAACATTTACAAAGCAACTGAAAGGATTTAATAAAAGCCCGCACTCCAATCCAGAGTTAATTGTACACATAAATACTATTTTTTTTTTACGATTTACTCTTAGCTATTGAAGTCAGTGACGACTTTTTTGAAACTTGAAATTATATATTTAAGAGCATTAAAATGTTCTATTGATATTTAATGGAGCTCTAAAATTGAGAGATTTGCAATGCGTTTGACCTTATTTGGCTCTGAAACTATTTCGTTCGATTTTGGTTGACCAAATTTAGTTGGATTTTCAACTGTTTTTAGCAGTTCATAAAATATGTGAGCATTTGTTGTACCCCATCCCCCGATCGGGGTTTCCTCCCCGAGCCCGCTTTATAGTGGCTGGCATATTTAAACTGCATTTTTTTTTGAGTTGGTTTTCGCTTTTGAACTTTATGCAGTAGCTTTTAAATAAATGCTCCACTTTTTTGCGAATCTACCAACGTGAAAAAAGATTGTTTAATTGTTTTAAAATATTTGTGGGCATGTGTGAGGTGGGAAGAGCCAAGAGGCGGTTGATGGTGTGTGTGCTGTGTGGCGTAGGGTAAACTGAACTGTGTTCTTGCTTTTTATTTGCGCAAATAATTTATGCATGTGTTGCCTTTGGCCTTGCTTCCCAGAGCTACTGTGTGGTGTTATCGAGGATTGCTATTGGAATGGGAAATGACTGCAAAAGTCAAATTGTGAGGTTTACCATTTGGGTTTTTTGTCCTCTAGCTGGAAAACACAATGGCGTTTGATAATGGGAATGGAAATGCGAAGCAGCGAATTTGTTTTGATTTTTTAATTTATGTGTGTACCTTTCGAACAAAATTGATGTCTCTGGTAACAGGTAAAATAATACCTAGGTTATAATTAATAATAGCTAAAAAAAAAGAAATATTTGTGCTTTTTAATCAGAAATTGTGTGTGGAAGAATATTTCATATCATTCGCAGAAATCAAAAAATATGTAATTAAAATGTATTTAAAAAAATGTCCTGTAATAAGGAACAAATTTTAAGCATTGTTATGAAAATACATTTTTACTACCATATATGCTACATTATAGATATTTTCAATCATAATTGAAATATTCCAGTGTTATTTGTGATATGCTAACGAAATTTAAATCAAAATATATATTGAAATATTTGACAATCTTTGTTTTGTAATAAAAAAAAATGTGGGAAAATGAAGAGAATTCAGTAGCTTTGTTTGTTTTTCATTTCTTTTAAAAAGCCACATTGAAAGAAAGAGAAACGAGTAAATACATTTTGATAATAAATAATTAGCTGAGCATTATAATCAACTTAATAAATGGGTAAATTCGTGTCGTTCACAGACTTGAGTTAGTTAATCACAGCTCTATCATATTTAGAAATTGGGGGAAATCATTCGAACTGTTGAGCCAGCATTTGGTGGCAACCATTTGCGTCTGACATACGAATATGGGTCATCAAAATGTTGTCCATGGCTCAACAGTTGAGAGTCATACGAAAATCGCATGACAGTTTCACGCATCGCTATCGCCATCTCACGGACTGCAAATTGCTTCGTATTAATCAACGTCGGGGCAGGACCCGCACATGCCGCAGGTCCTGTCCAACACACTGGCCACCAAATGTGTGTTCTGTCGGTTTGTTCAGTTCTCTCTCTATGTGTGGGTGTGCGTAGGTGTGGGTGTGTGCGTGCTTGTTGGTGCGTAATAATTGCTTGGCCATAGGCTCAGCGTCAACTTCACAAATACACTTGCACACACACACACATACACTCACTCACAGACACACATGCCGTGCACACACGCACACCCACCTGCCATAGATAGTTCGTGTTAGTCAGTCATGTGATTAGCCGTACACATATACGAGTGCGAATAGTTGTGCTTGCGTGTATTCGTGTGTGTTTGTGGGTGTGTGTTAATACATATGCATGTGTGGATAGCCGCCTTGGTGTCCTGGAGCCTTTAGCCTAGGGAGTGCACGAAATTATGCGGAAATTGTTGCATATTTAAGTGGGCACGCGTGAACAAATGTTAAAAACTTGCGCTTGTTTTGCGTAGACGTGTGACAGAACATTTTAAGCGGTCTGCCATAAAAGTTGATTGTATGAGATTTTCGTTTAAAAGTGTGGGAAAAAACAAGAAGGTATTAGAGCAAGATTATGATAAAGGCATATATGTTGAAGCCTCTATCATAATATATGTCAGTTAGAGTTGTGATAAAATATACAAGCATAATGCGGAAAATGGTTTTCAGCAAACAATTACGTTGTTGAATTAGAAATGTATTTTAATTTAATTATTTCATTCTGTTCTTACAGCTTTCTGAGAAAAATGTGTGCCTCTGCCCATTTTGTTCTTTCCCCAACCTTATTTATTGCTCTTTTAAACCCTCCTTAATGCCATAGAATATCAAAATGATTGCTCTAAGGAAACACAGCGTACAATTTATGTAGTGTTGTAATTGATCATTGTCTCTTTGCATTTCCTGTGAAGTGCAATATAATTGATTTAAACCAATTACCCAGGTTCTGATTTGCCAACAAATCTCGGCCACAATTCAATAACTGAGCAAAACCAAAAACTCAACCCCAAACAAACTGAGCAAATTCAACCGCAAAGAGCACATTTCAACTTGAATTTAACAAAATGATAAATTAATTTTCGCAATTGTAGCTGAAATTGAAATGCATAACTTAGTTTATTTTTGTTGTTGCTGTTATTCTGTTTCTGTTGCCTTTGAAATCATTTGACCGGTGCACAAAAACTTTGAGTAATTGCCAAAAGAAAAGCGCGCTGAATGAATAAAGCCAAAATGAGA